TGAAACTTCCTAACACTTGGTTTGGGTTTTTGTTTACCTATACGGTATAAAGGGCATCTATCCTGCACTGCAGGCATCCCTTCTCACTATTTTCATGGTGGGACAACTATCCATACAGGTAGGCATCTATCCTCAAAAAAAATTCCACAAAAAGCTAATTTTTGCAAAATCTGTATTTAAGTAGGTTAAAAAATAATTATTCGTATGAAATTAATATTTTTCAAATTAGGTGGTTATTTCAAAAAGTGGAGCATCTATCCCGGTTTTACCCCATACCAAAATAAAAAAATCGCGAATCGAATGTAGGTAGCCGCGAAATTTGAACATTCACAGCCCATTAAGAGCCCACGTACATTGGAAAGCTTGGAAAACAGTTCTGATTTCTTACAAAGAAAAACATCAAAATCAGGCAATGGCACAGGATTTTAAAAAAATGGACGGAATCCAAATCAGATTCTGAGTTAACAACAATTCCTAAATGTTTTCTTTCAATCCACCGGAAAGAACGAATGAGTTGTTTGAAAGAAAGTCAGAATTGAATATTTGGATTCGAAAAATGTGGAGTTTGTCCACTGAATGAAAACAAGTTGATAACCCGATGAAGATATGGTGGGTTCATTATTTTTGAAGAAATTTGAGACAAAATGAGTTGATTACTTTATATCTACATCACTGAAGAAAAAACTAATGAGTGCTTACAGGCAAAAGCGTTAGTGTTAAAGACATCTTTAGAATTATGGAGTTTATTTGGTTTCAAAATGTAACCTTCTGAAAAATCTCCAAAAGTCACAACAGCTATATAAACCAACTTTTTTGAAATTAGATAAAGTAAGCGAAATATATTCTGATTTGCAAAAAATGCAAACCATTTTTTATTAAGGTAATAGTAGCCCACAATAGAATTTTTTTGTATGAAATCACATTTATTCTTGAAAATATCTGGGACGAGTGAAGGGTATTCCTGAACACGGGGTATTGTTAGGTTGCATGGAAAAAGGAAATGAGGATATATTTTATACGCATGTTGTTGGTTTTTCTATTAATCACATTTAATCGCGAAAGTGTACAATATTTCTAAAAATGGGTGGGTTTCTTGGAAAAAGGACTAAAGTGTCAGAGAAAGCGGAAAACACTCAAGAGGTGAAAAGCTTCAAGTATATAGATTTAAATTTGCGTAATGGAGTTACCCCACCCCAATCAATTGAACCTTTATCCCGAAGTTTCTATTTTTTTTGTAAATATATCGGAAGTTAAAATAACCTTCACGGAATACAATGTATGAATAACAGAACATACCGAAAAAATCACATATTTAAATATAGTATAATAATAATAGTAATAAAGTATACTTTATTGTCGAAAGATGAACATCTCGTAGACAAAGCAATTATAAATAGTTATAGAAACCATAAGAAAATCGGTTGTAAACAACAAGCTATTTAAATGTAGGTTGAAATAATTTTCTTACACTTAGGAATATAAAAAAGTATTGTTATAAGGATATTACAGTAAATATAAATAGGTAAATAAATGAATATGCATATATAAATGCACATAAATACCACACTAGGCACACAGTTTCGCGTATAAATAAAGAAGAAAGTATTAGTAATTTTTGCTCCTTGAACAAGGGTTTACAAGACTCTCTAGGCCCAACTTTGCACAGATATGTGATTGTCCTACAAAGCAACCAAAACATAAAAAAATGAACCCCGCCACCCCAAGTGGCGGTGCCTGTGAAAAATATTGAATCCTGCAGTATTGAATCCTAATGTGGGATATGGACAACTAGCGAACCGCCCCGGCTACGCACGGGTGCAATGCTCATACTAAATATAAATTCATCCACCGGAAATTCAAGGGCATGGAGAGAGTGATGAAAAGATAATTTTTTATGGACGCGACTTTTTCCTCCACGGCTGGCCCTCCAGTTGGAATATTTAAAAATCCTTTCCTTTTGCATACCTACAACATAAAACTAACCTACATACAACATTTCAGCCTCCGAAAGTATATATACTGGTATGGAGAACGATTATGAAAAGGTAATTTTCATATGTAAACGTGCCGCTTTTATTCCCAGTGGGGGAGCCTAAGTTGGAATATTTAAAAAATCATTATTTATTACACATCCACAACATATAAACGCTTCAGCGAAAACGAAGTATACGAGGCACTAAGGTCGCTCAAGCCTAAAAAGATCACTGTTCCAGATGACGTTCCAGCTTTCATCCTTAAAGATTATGCATAATTGACTGCCCAACATTACTGAAAATGTTTAATACTCGCATTCCTAGAATCTGTTCCAGACACCCGAGTACTTTCTTTATAAAAATATCTCGCACAAATGTTTAGGAGAATTCTCTGATCCATAACGTGTGTAAAGCGACAAACTCTGTTAGCGATAATTTAGATAGGTACCTATATTAGTTGCAAACTGTCAGATATGAAATCCCACTTCCCAAAATAATTGTTTTGTCACCTATTATAGATATAAAATGTGTAGTCCTCATAGTTACTTGTTAGTATTGTTTGTAGTGTTTGTAGACTTCACAGTCACTTATTTGTGATGTGATAATAAAAACAAATACCATGTTGAAAAACCAGACCAAACTGAAACCTTGGATATTGCTTCGTTTAATCAATTCAATTTAATCATAGAGACTATTTGAAGCAAAAATCTGTAAGGACACATAGCGAAGAACATAAAAAAGGATATAGACACTATAGAAACTTTCTAGGTAATTTAATAAGAACTGCCAAAAATGACTATTACAAAACTAAAATAAATGAATCAGGTAAAAACTTTAGAGAAATTTGGAACGAAATAAAAGAAGTAACAAATGATAGCTCGCATCACAATAGTACACAAAATAAATTTCCACTTTATCGATGAACAAGGCAGAAAACAAACGAATGGAAAAGTAGCGAACGAGTTCAATTACTATTTCATAAATACAGGTGAAATCATGTCAAACAGAATAGATAAACCAACATTTCCTCCTATAGAAAACAACAGTAATATGAGAAATTCGCTAATCCTCCACCCGATAACTGAAAATGAAATCATAAAGATAATATCTGGATTAAAAAATGAGACTTCTCATGGTCCTGACAAAATTACGGTAGCCTTCATTGAAAAATATCACATTTATCTCATAAAACCATTACGCTTTATTCTGAACTCAATTTTTCTGTCTGGAAAAATCCCGACTACCTTTAAAGAATCCATCACAATCCCAGTTTATAAATCTGGAGACAAACAAAAAACAAATAACTATAGACCCATAACAGTTATAAACAATTTCGCAAAAATATTTGAAAAATGTTTAAAAAACAGATTGGTAAACCTTCTTGACAACAACAAAATCATTTCCAACCCCCAATATGGATTCAGGGAAAACTTATCAACAGAACAAGCCGTTTTTGAACTAACAAATAAGGTAATCTACTGCTTTCAGGATCAGAAAAAAATGTTTACCTGTATTTTTAGACCTGGCAAACGGAATACAGAGAGTAAAAATAAATGAGTCTTTTAGCGATCTACTGCCTGTTACCAGGGGTGTATCACAGGGAACTGTCATGGACCCCCATACTATTTTTACTGTATGTCGAAAATATTTTCAACATTAAAAATTTCGAAGGGCATTTAACGTCTTACGCTGATGATATGGCTGTAGCATTCGTAGGTGAAACATGGAACGAAGTTTATGAAAGAGCAGGAATTGACATGAAACAAATTCACTCTTGGCTAAGTACTAACTGACTGAGCCTCAATCTAGATAAAACAAAATTCATAACTTTCTTCTCTACAAAAAAAGATCAACCAAAACAAACAATACTTCCTATTCACAAATCAACTTGCTCAGAGAATTTTAATTACTCTTGCCTAGAAATAAATGAAATAGAATCAACTAAGTACTTTGGCATCATGATTGGTCAATCACTACGCTGAAACGTACATGTTGTAAAATATAATGTGAAAAGACTTCGAAAGCTTATTTATAAATTTTATCAACTCCGAAATATTCTTAGAAGAGACGTTATGTTGCTGGTTTATAACACCTTGGCTGGGTCAATCATACGCTATTGTATCATTGTTTGGGGGGGGGATTATACAAGAGTTCCTTACACAATTTAGATATAATTCATTCTATAGACAATGAGTAAACCCATTAACATAATTTATCACACGCAGAATACAAGAATGGTGGCAAGCCTAGCTATAAATATACCACGTTGCAGATTGACCCACAACCAGAAATTCGTCACTTAACTTGGTCCTAAATTAAAGTCAGCTGCCTACACATATAAATAATATCAAAAGCCACAAAAAACTCAGAAAAGAAATGAAACTATTCATTAAAAACCATTATAATCAACTGAAAAATATCTTCGAGAACGACTGAATCAGAAACCTCCATCGGTGTATACTCTACCTACATATGTCTCTATTCAACCTGTTCTCTAAAACTAAGTTACATTTTCAGTTAGATAGCATTAGTACACTGGTATATACCTATATCTTTTACGTTGAAATTTAGCAGCCTGAGGGGCACACTGCAAGCTTAGCTAAGGTGACCTCAGACTGCTAGGAATAGAATATTCTACATCTTTTACTTAATATATACAGGCTGATTCACGGTGGATGGCACATTAGACGTTTCTGGTGAACCAGACAACGGATCACTTTGAAAATTTAATGGAGGGAATTATATAGTGGTACGGAGAAACAGAGATGAATGAGTGATTGTTGAGTGAGTGACTTTCGCATTCATAAGTATAGATTCATCCCGGAACATTTTGCAGGAATGCGCTCCTTCGGCATATTTCACGCTGTCTGAGTTACCTGCTGATTTGCTAGAATGCTGGTGATCTACGTTATAGGCGCGATCATCTGAATTATTGCGAAAAATCATCTTTCGGCTTTCGGTTCCATGTTCGGTTCTATTCGTGTTGCGATCGATTCATTCCTGCAACGATATCACGATTGTCGGATAGTCAGTCCTGCTGACTATCAACGTTTTAGTTAGACGGTGTATTGCGTGTAGAAAAGTGTTTGAATTTCGTTACGCGTGTTTCGATTATTTGAGAACTCAAAAGCGCAGCCTGAACAAGTATTGTTGTTGAATGTGCCATAAAAAATGAAAATATGACATCGACCACTACAACTATAAGAAAATCCTATGGGAACAGACGATTGTATACTTTTCCGGAGGACTATCCCCCCGTGAGACTCACTAAACAAAAAAGTAACGCCAGTTTACCGAAAAAGAATGAGGAAATTGCGAAGCTTGTTAAATACATCGACGACAACATTGTGGGGAAAAATAACGCATTTTTTGGGCCTTTTGGTAGAAGAAAAGGTAAGTAATGATTTTATTTTGTTGGTCCTAATTTCTGATACATTCTTTATTGCTAGATATTCTGAATAAACCATATCACATATATCCGGCATCATTTGTCTTTATCGTGGATCATAATGACGGCTTGGCGACGACCTGTCTGTTGTTTTCCTTACAATAATATTTTGAAACAAAATTAACTTGGCTCAAACAGTGAATTCTTCTATGTTGGTAGATATATTATTAGGATGTGATGTACCATGCCGACATTTTCGGTTATGATTCTTTAAACTGTCGTGTGATTTATATTTTGATGTTTTAGAGCACACTTATATTGACATTTCAGTGAGATAATTTTTTCAGATTCTCATTTTTAATGTCAGATAAGGAAAATTTTATGTACAATTCATTCTTATCTCTTTCAAAGTAATATTCAGAGATCATTTGAAAAAGGTGCTTATAAGTACTTCATTTGCCCATTTTTATTGGTCAATAATATTGAACAATATTCAGGATGGGCACATTTCACAATTTCTATCTGATAATCAGATTTTCAGAGCGAACCCATACATTTTTGATTTGTGAATACTTTGTTAATAATTATAATTGAACAATAACAAACATAAAGAAATACACATAGATAGACAACAAATTTGGACAAAACACACACACAAACGCTGAAACTGTACGTGGACAACAATTTTAAACAATTCAACTTACGCCACTAACATTAGAATTTGAAAAATTAAACTAATTTTTGTTCATTCTTGTCTCTCAGAAAACATGTTGACATTATTTAAAAAACACACTTTTATAAGTACCTACTTTTGTAAGGTTTTTCGGTAAATATTCGTTTTGAGAGAACCCGGCGATTTTGAAAAAATGTTTGAGTGTACGTATTTTGATGCGTAGATTACGAATCCGGAAAAAAAAAGCGACGTTCTCCCTTATTCACAAAGTTACGGCCCTTCAAATTTCAGACAAGAGCAACTATTCAGCCTTCTTTTTCACAAGATAAACTATTTAAAAACACATGCATTTATTCACAAGGTCACCTTTCAACAACAACAGTCAACATTTTTCCAATAAAAATATCAAAAATTGTACGGAACTGCTTTTTGTTTATATATCTCTGTGTTTTACGTTTTAAGGTTAATGGCATAGTTGGTACGACTGATGCAAGCATTCGTTTTCAAATTGAGTTTTTTATAAGAAAAATGTTAAAAATTGAATTGAAAAGTGTGAATTAAGGAGGGATTAGGTGTAAAGGTGACCTAGTGAATAAATGCTTGTTTTTGAATAATTTATCTTGTGAGAAAGAAGGCTGAAAAGTTGCCTTTTTCTCAACTTTGAAGGGCTGTAACTTTGTAAATAAGAGAGAGCACCGCTTTTTTTTTCGGATTCGTAATTTACGCATCAAAATACGCTGGGTGCCTTCAAAACGAATATTTACCGGTTTTCCTACAACTATTTAGTTTAGAAACATTTTATTTCTTTATTAATTTTTATTTTGTATTATGAATTTTTGGTAGGAAATTAACTTTTTATAACTGCATTACTGAACAGTCGTCCAAAATATCCATCTGCTTGGGTTTTTACGTTGATTCTATTATTTTTATTTTTACGTATCATTTTCGTATTTTCTCATTGCTTATCATTGGAATGCTCTCTTCCAGAGAGTTTATTGCCGAAAAACAGATGAATATTTAGAAGGAAACCATTTGGGATGTTTCGAGTGGGTACTAATCCTTAACACTCATCGATTTAGACAAAGAATTCTGGCCCAAGTGGTTGACCCTTTTGACTATATTTATGACCCCGACCAACGGTGATTTTTCAAGAGTTACTGGAAACACATTTCTTAGCCGATGCATGCAGACGATTCAGGGATTTCGGACGGGAACTAATCCTAATTCTGACTCTCCTCGCCACGAGGTTACATTGTTATTTTCTGTTTGTTCATTTGTTGGTGTTGTTAATAAATTTTATTATTTGGAAACGCTGTGTCCGTCTGATATTAATTAATTCACTTATCACCAGTCCCGACACTTTGGTTTTAGTAGAATTTAACATTTTTTGTTGGTAGACTCTAAAATTTTGGAGACTAAATGCGTTTTTTGAATGTGCCATTCAATCCATGCATTATCTTGAGGAAAAGGTCAGAATCAAACCTGACCTATAGGAATATATTCTACGATCTTCAGAGTGGACCATTAATTTTCAATTTGTTGAGAATTGTTTCGTGGCTGATTTGGACGAAATACTTATATAATTTCGAAAAATAAAAATTTTCTCCATCTGTTTATGGTCTGCTGCACAGTGATGTAGGTATGCATATTATTTCTCAGACGAAAGATATCAATTTGAAATCTGAGGTTGACGAAACACATTGTTTTTGGAGAAAGTTATTTTTGGCATTTCTTCAACATACGATATATCCCGACCGACTGAAAATATTTCTTTCTTATGTTTCAAATAATCAGTTTCTTTTATTATTATTAGGTCGTTTCAAAAGTTTTGTCCGTTTTTATGAGTCTACTTTAAATTGTAGATTCTCAGTGAATACTTATTCAATTCAATCGAAATGAGCGACGTTTGCCAATGTGACACGATTCGATTAATTTCGTCAGTATAAAAATTGTATGCTCGGGATTCGATAAAGTCGACGAAGGCCGTTTTTGCCCGATGCTGATTGGCTAAGGTTCTACCGCAGTGAGAATTATCGAAGTGCTTGAAAAAATGTATATCGGTTGTCTGGGGGTATGGTGGGTGAGGAAGAATTTCGACACTCATTTTTTTTAATTTTCGGAGGGCGACTTGTGCAACATACGGACGGGCATTGTTGTGGAGCAGGATCGGACCTCTTCTGTGGAATAGTGCAATATTTCGTCGTTTTTCTCACAATAGGACTCCACTGTGATGGTTTAGCCCGGTTGCAGAAAGTTATAGTGAATGGTCTGTTTTTGGTAGGTTTTCGAAGTGCCTGGGTGGCCTATCGGTGTCCAACGACTGTCCTCAAGGTCTCCTGTTGTCATAGAGGATCCACTTTGCATCACACTTGACGAGCCCATAAAACGACCAGGAACGTGACAATTTCTGTCGATATTTCAAATCGTGGGGCACCCACTTTTCAAGCTTTTTGACCTTTCAAATACTTGTAGACAATATCGTTACGAATGTCTGGATCACTTGTTATCATTTCTGCAGTGGTAATAATGAATATTTATCAAGGATCGGTGAAGATTGACAAAAATTAAAAAATTGTAGGAAATATCAGTGGATATAATTCAAGTACTAACTTTGAGTATCATTTGAAATAAGTTTCTAAAAAATCAGAAAAAGTTAATTAACATTCCACTTTTACTTGTCGAATATGTTTACTAAAACAATTATCAGTGATAAGAAAGTGAAAGAATGCTCAATTTGGGACTTGGCTACCTGTCTTTGCAATAATAAAGCATTTCTTTGTTGTCACTAACTAGGCCAATGTTTCAAGTTTTTTTGATATTGTTAGTAATCTAGGTATTGCAAGAAATTTCAAACATATGTTTATAGCAACTTAAGTACATTCTGCTTCAAACGACTTTGTTTTATCTGAAAGCTATATCATATCAAACGCAACACTCCATCAAACATCCCCAAGACCATTCGATGGTATGAATAATAATGAACTTCTAATCCCTCCAAAGAAATTTGCGAAATGACACCTCCACATAAAATATCTCTGTTCTGATATTGGATTTTCTGAAATATGCTTGTCAGACCTACCAATTTTTAGGAAAACTCAAGCTTAAGGTGAAAGAAATAAAAGTTACGAGAAATGAGAAGTAGACAGAATAATACCGTCACGAAGTATACTGTACTGGAGAAAAAAATAAGAATACGAAATATTTGAATTGAACATATTGAAAAAATGATGAAATATATCATTTCGAATGGTCAACTTAGAATATATTGAGTAATTCACATTACAAAATACGATCTGTCAGTCCAATTATCTACAAGTTAAATATATCTTTCTATTTGGCAAAGCAAATACATTCATCTATTCCTACGAGGTGGTGGTTTGGTTTAATATATCTGATACCAGTTTGGCTAGATTTTTTCAGAGTCCAAAATAATTTTTTAGTCAGAACCGAGTGAGATTGATTTGTCTGCAGCTGTTGAAAGGTGACCTACTTTGTAAATTGTCATCATGTTCAACAATTCCGCGAATACAAATTGGAACAGAATCATTAAGAACATATTGCTTTCTTCCTGTTAATCTATAATTACCATCTATTGTTCTAAACAGCTTGGAACTTCCCAAATCGTAGGATTCAGTTGAAGTTGAACACGGATATTCCCAATAATACGTGGAAAGTACTTATTTCCCACTATGTATTCCTGTTGTATACTCTATAGAATTTTCTTCGAAAATATTGATCCGAATCAAAATATTTTGATGAATAAAAGTTATTTTTGTTACACGACTTTATCTTGTCATGGGGAAAATAGAAAGAGTTGAATGAGATGAAACTGTTTTATCTTCCTCTTGAAGATGATCACTTGGTGATCGAAACATGTGTCGAGGTGTAAAAATAACGATTTGGTGTTGGGAAAAAACTCCAGTAATATTCATATATCAATTAGTCAATTGATTACAAAATATTACATTTTTTGAGCATATTTTTTAAATTATTTTCTTATGTCTACAAGTATTCTATTCAAAAAACATACACTTATTTATTTGCAGGCTATTTTCTGAGCTTTTCAATTAATAAAGTTCAATGTAAATCTGTAAATCTGCAAATCAGTAAAATCTGTTTTTTCGTTAATCAGCTGTCGCCCCCATACGAACGACAACTCTCAGAAGTTGAGAAACTTATGCGAGCTAAGGACTAACGAGGTCTTACTTTTTAACGTGTGATTCCTAACACGATTGAAAAAAAATTGAAAAAAAAATTTTTTGTCAGATTGGACGAATCCCTCTAGATACTCGTCAGATTATGAGACAACACGTCTAGAACATAAAGATAAAC